TTTGACTTAATATGACAATTTTGACTTACTATCTCATAATGTTGACTTACTATCATAATATTGACTATCTTGTAATTTTGACTGTTATTATTTTGACTTACCATCATAATTTTTAACTTATTATTTCATGATTTTGACATATTATATCATAATTTTGATTTACTATGATAATTAGGAATTGCCCTCTCAGAATATTGACTTACTATATTAATTTTGACTTACTCTCTCATAAATTTTGACTTGCCATCACATAATTTTTACTATGATAATTTTGACTTACTATCTCATAATTTTAACTATCATAATTTTGACTTACTATCTCATAATTTTGACTATCATAATTTTGACTTACCATCGTAATTTTTAACTAATGATCTCGTAAATTTGATCATCTCATAATTTTGACTGCTTATTTCATGATTTTGACAGATCATAATTTTGATTTACCATCATAATTAGGACTTACCCTCTCATAATTTTGGTTTACTATCAGAATTTTGACTTCCCATCTCATAATATTGACTTACTATCATAATATTGAATCCTGTAATTTTGGCTGTTATTATTTTAACTTATCTCATAATTGTGACTTACCCATCTCAATATTTTGACCATCTCATAATTTTGACTTAATATCATAATTTTTTACTTATGATCTCATAATTATGACTTATTATCTCATCATTTTGACCATCTCATAATATTGACTTATAGTTTAGATGTAAGACAATGAAATTTGTTCAGGTCAAAAGGTCAAACCTAACAGTGTCATAAGACATGCTCAGTATGATGATGTACACTCATTTAAGTGGTGAAATCCAGATTTAGTTCTCTCTGACCTGTACACTTAACCATCATATTGCTTCAATAATCATGTTAGTTTTAAACCAGTCATTACAGATGAAATGTTTATTTTATTGTTTATGATTATCTGTTTATTTTGGTTTTATTATACAAAATAGAATCATAAAAACAAAATAACATACAGATGAAATTGAATGATATTAACCTTTTGATGATGTGATTGGCTGTGCAGTGATGTCAGTGCAGTGATGGCTCCGCCCCAAAGGAGGCGTTCCTTTGGCCCCGTCTCACCCAAATACATCTACAGGAGCCTGTCACTTAAATTGAGGGGCGGGGCTTCCCAATGTGAGGCGGAGCATACTGATTGGAGGAGGAGGCTGAGTAAAGGACAAGCTGATGTAAAGACTACACACACACACACACACACAAACATATAGAGTAAATGTACTGCAGTCTGCATAAGTGTGTGTGTGTGCATGTGTGTGTGTTTAGTTCTGGAGTCTGTGGGATGCACTGGAGAATGAAGACACACTCGGCGTCCAGCATCTGCTGTCCAGAGAACAAGCGACGGACACACACACACACCGACGAGTGAACCGGGTGACTGAACTTGGCCTGGTGCCGCTGGATGTGGCTCTTCTTACCCAGAATGCCTCACTGCTGAAGGTGCTGCTGAAGGCCGGAGCCAAACACAACCCTACCTGTGAGAGACACACACATTACACACACACAACACACAAAGCATGATGCAGAAGACAAACATGAACACAATATTACCTGTGAGACACACACGTACAGAGAGACATACACACACACAATCCGTCAAACACACATACAAAGAGACACACACACACACACACACACTGAATTATGAATGCCTCTGACTGCAGTGATCTCGGCCTCTGATTGGTCGCTGAAGCTGGATGAGCTGGTGTCATTGGCTGAGCAGAAGCTGGAGGAGTGGAGGGCGGAGCTTGAGGTCAGAGAGAAGGCGGAGCTTCAGGTGAGAGTGAGGGCGGAGCTTCAGACACACACAGACGCACAGAAGAACGTGGAGCAGTGGAGACGCCGCCGAGAGCTTTACCAGAACATGAGGGAGAGATTCAACAGGACGAGTATGAACACACACACACACGTACACTGAAACATTTAAAACAAACACACACTCACTAAAACATTTAAAACAAGCACACACACACACTCACTGAAACTTTTAAAACAAACACACACTGAAACATTTAAAACAAACACACACACACACACACACACACACACTGAAACATTTAAAACAAACACACACACACACACGCACTGAAACATTTAAAACAAACACATACATACACACACACACACACTGAAACATTTAAAACACACACACACACACACACACTCACTGAAACATTTAAAACAAACACACACATACACACACACACACACTGAAACATTTAAAACAAACACACACATACACACACACACACTGAAACATTTAAAACACACACACACACACACACACACACACACAC